GGGCCCGGGGGGGGCTGGACGGGGCTTGGGGAACCTGAGGTGATGGAAGGTGTGGGCTGGGCTGGGCTCCAAGGTCCCTTCCCACCAAACCATTCCAGAATTCCATGACTAAAGCTCAAACAGAGGTAAAACAGCCCAGCTGGGCTTTGAGGGAGCGGTGCCACCCCAGAGCTGTGAGCTCCTGTCACCCAACCTGAGCATCCCTGGGTGCTCCACAGCCTGGGAATTGTGGAATTCCGGAATTGTGGAATTCCAGCCCCCAAATGACGGGATTTGGAGCAAGAGGAGGCGACAGTGAATGGAAAAAATGTGAATTTCTGCAGTGTTTTTTGCGAGGAACTGGGGGTTAGTGCTGTGTGTGTCGTGTCTGTGCCAAAAACAGAGTTAGAAACTCAAATTCTCTGTTATTCTTTCACCTTTCTTGCTGTGCTTCATTAATTATACTCCCAATAAAAATAATCAGTTGGCTGATGCCTTTAATGAGGTCGATTACAGCCAGCTTGAAAAATGAAAAACACTCAGGGTTGATTTTTGGTCAGAGAATTCACAATTTTAGCAGGATTTTGGTATATGAATATGCGGGATTAATGGTAAGAGTACTCAGAAGCGTCAAGGTTTGTATGAATGGGATCAAAACTTGGGTTTTTTTGGTCCCATTGGGTTTTTTTAAACCCTTGAGATATTTTTTTTAATTCCTGCCTTGTTTTCTCCTCCCCACAGATGAAACAGAGTTCAGGAATTTCATTGTCTGGCTCGAGGACCAGAAAATCAGACACTACAAGATCGAGGACCGAGGGAATCTGAGGAACATCCACAGCGAGGACTGGCCCAAATCCTTTGAGAAGGTATTTCCTTGCTCCAAACAAATGTTGGTGTAAATGATCTTTCACAGCTGCTGTAGCTGTGCAACGGAAATAACTCTGGATATTTGTCCTGTTGCGTTTCTAGGAATTTAAATGCATTATTGAGGCCAGACTGGGGGTGTTTATTACAATGGGAGGATTCTGTGCATAGTTTCCCCTCAGCTTTGTTTGTTTAATAGGTGGAGTATCCATCCCAATCTGGTTTGAGGCTTTGTTGGGTTTTTTTTTTTTTTTTGCCTGATTTGATTCAGCTCTTGAAGCAGAAAGAAGACTGACTGCAAATAAACAAATTTTTTCTGCTTTAATTCTCCTCCTGTAGCAAAAGGAGGTGGATGAGGCCCCTGCAGGCCTTGCCAGCCTGTGGGGGAAAGCTCATCTCTGCACTTCCTGTCATTCCAGATGGATTTTCTGGATCCAGATGGACTCTGGGTGATCTCTGTGCTCCTGAGCATTTGCAGCCACCACAAGGCTCTTGAGTTTCCTCTTGGTTCCCATTTCCCTGCTCTGTGATTCCCAGTGCCCATTCATCCCAATTTTTTTTTTCCCCCCCTCCTGGAAACGCTTTGCTCACTGCCCAGGAGTGCTCAGGGAGAACCTGAATTATTCCAGTATCCTGTAGATAAATGGGAATATTTGGAATTCCTGGCAGCTGGGGCTGATGTGGTGCCTTTCCTGGCTCAGTGAGAGTGTCCTCTCCATAATTTCCAGGGAATCCCTGCTTTCCAGCCCCTGGCAGCCTTTTCCCAGCTGTGTGGCCCTTCTGTCCCTGCAGCAAAGGGACACAACAGAATGTCAACACATCTGGTTTCTGGGAGCCTTGGCAGCAGCCAGGGCTGGATCTCGTGTTCTGGGACAGAACCTCAGCCTGGTTTTGTCCTCTCTTGTTGTTCACAATCCCTCAGAAAGGGAAAATTACTCCTGCTGCTCCAGGGAATCCTCT